GCTTCCGAAAATGTTAAAACGGATCAATAAAATATTTCATTGATGATATAACCCACAGAAAAGAGAAGTGATGGCATTTAAATACAGATCTGGTTTATGACCAGATCTGTATTTAAAAGGAGAATAATTGTACTAAAAAGCTTTATCCTCTGATCCCCATAAAACAAAATTACACTCTCTAGTCAAGAAGGCTTTAAGGTCTTTTTTATAAAAAGTCTGATCTAAGACATTTCCAATTAAGACTTAGCCACTGAAAGCACAGCTTTGGGGTTTTCTACATGGTCTGTAAGGCCCACAGATGGAAATGTAACTATGCACACATAGTGAAAAAAACTTTTTGGATTTATCATGGATTTCCTTTCTTTAATCATGCAAGCAAGGGAAGAAAATCCACCCTTGTACTTCAAATGCCTCACAACAAGAAAGGGCTCTGGCAAAGAAAATGGAACATCAATTGCTTAAGTCAGACAGAAATCAATGACTTCCCCTACACGCAAACAACTGACCAACAGGTCACTCCCGCTGGGTACAAAATCACTGCCTGGCATTTCTGCTTGCTAAGCAGCTTTGTTTACTCACCAGACATAGCCCTCTATGTTCAGGGTTCAATTCCCCTCCCTGCAACTCTCTTGCCTGCTGAAATTAAGCAATCAACTCTGCCACTTCAGCAAGATACAATAAGTAAGAGAGGAAAACATGCACCATGAGAATTGTCATGCAACAGATATACATTTCCAAAGCTCTTAAAAACTAAGTTGTAGTCTTGACATTAATCTGAGATCACCCCCTTGGGTTTCCTTGAAGTTTGCTATCTTGCCTGCAGATAAATTCTGGGTACATCTACACTGTAAAATTAATGCAGTTTGACACCATTTTAACTGCCCTGCCATGGCTCAATAGTTATGGAATAACAGGAGTTGTAATCTAGTGAAGCACCAGCACTATTTGGCAGAAAAGGCTTAAGACCTTGTAAAATGACAAGCATTAATTCTATTGAGTAGATGCACACTCTGTTTAGAAATAAGAGTACAGCACTGCTTCTAATTGTTTGGCAACTGGGGCATGGGCATGGAAGTCTTGTGTTGGGACTGGTGGGAAACATGGCAAAAGACTCACAACAAGTGGTAAGGAAATGCTGAAAGTAGCTGTTGTGGTTTAATTCCACAACAGCTGATCGTTGAGAAGAAGCACAAGCCTACCCTTCAACATTTCACAAGACACATGTGCCAAACAAGATAAAAATGTGATCAAGACAGCGATGATCATGAATGGGGAAGAGCACAAAAGCTAGGAGAAGTTTGCTTTTGGCTAAACCTCCTGGGAACTCCAGGATTACACCTCTTTTCCTGGCCACCTCCCCCCCCCCCCCCCCCCACCACACTGAGTTATGTAATTAAGCACAAACTGCTTTTGCACTTTTAACTCTATTTCCAGCAAATGAAATACACTGAAAACGAAGGAAGAAAATAAGAGGACAAGAGAGAAATTGATCACAGGGTAACCGCTGATTCACATGTTCTATTTTACTGTAAAGTAAACATTTGGATCATCTGCAAATGGCATTAAATCTGTTTGGATTACTTCTTTTTTGTGTGCCATTTACTCCATAACAGGTTTGCCAACCCAAAATCAAGAATAGGCACATATTTCTTTATTTATTTATTTACTTTACTTGTATACCGCAGTTTCTCAGCCTAACAGGCGACTCAACGCGGTTTACAACAAGGATAAGAATCAAACAACGATATACAATTTAAAACCATAAAAGCATAATATACAATATTAACACAACAATAGACAACACAATGCATCTCATAACTAGAGTCGTGATCCAATCCGTCGTCCAAATTTCCATTCCTGTAATCATCACATTCATTGCACTGTTTAACTGAATGCCCGTTCAAACATCCAAGTTTTTAATCTTCTTCGGAACACCATTAGCGAGGGGGCTGATCTTACCTCCATAGGAAGGGCGTTCCACAGCCGGGGGGCCACCACAGAAAAGGCCCTGTCTCTCGTCCCCGCCAGCCGCACCTGTGAAGCAGGCGGGATAGAGAGCAGGGCCTCCCCAGAAGATCTTAGGGTCCTGGCGGGCTGATAGGCAGAGATACGTTCGGATAGGTAACTTGGGCCAGAACCGTTTAGGGCTTTATAGGCCAACGCCAGCACTTTGAATTGAGCCCGGTAGCAAATCGGCAGCCAGTGGAGCTGGTGCAGCAGAGGAGTTGTATGCTCCCTGCACTCCGCTCCTGTTAGTATCATGGCTGCCGAGCGTTGGACTAGCTGGAGCTTCCGGGCCGTCTTCAAAGGCAACCCCACGTAGAGAGCGTTGCAGTAGTCTAGACGGGATGTAACCAGAGCGTGGACTACCGTGGCCAAGTCAGACTTCCCAAGGTACGGGCGCAGTTGGCGCACGAGTTTTAACTGTGTGAATGCTCCCCTGGTCACCACCGAAACCTGAGGTTCCAGGCTCAGCGATGAGTCCAGGATCACACCCAAACTGCGAACCTGCGTCTTCAGGGGGAGTGCAACCCCATCCAACACAGGCTGTAACCCTATACCCTGTTCGGCCTTGCGACTGACCAGGAGTACCTCTGTCTTGTCTGGATTCAATTTCAATTTGTTCGCCCTCATCCATATAAGGAAGTACATTGGGTAGTTTTAATTTAGGGAAATGATTCCTCACAAAGTTTCTTTTCAAATGTAGCAATGGGTAATTTTGACAATTTTCCTCAAACTGTTAAAAAAAGTCTTGAAAAACCATGCAATTGTGAGGGTCATTTCTAAATTGGGTCTTGCTATGTGCAAAAATGTGCATGGTGGTTTTGCACAAAAACAATATTTTCTATGCAGAAAATATGATTTCAATGAATTTTTCAAATGCTTGATTGTGGGTGTACTCTGCTTAAAATTTACATATGATTAATTTGAACAGAAAACAAATTTCTTTTGCACAGGAAATAGTTCTGCATTTAATTTTTTGGGAGGAAAATGTTGTTTTCTGCACAAAACATCAATTCAGGATTCTTCTTATCAAGATTTCTCAACACATTAAAATATAATTTTTGACAATTTTCAAATATTTTTATTATTATTCTATCCTATTGTAATTACAGCATTCTAAAGTGGAACATCTCACCCATTTCAACTATACCAATACATATCAATCTTAAGTGGAAAATTCATTCAAGGAAGTTGATGTGACACATCCTGTATTAAACTACTAAATTGTGGTGGTGCTACCTGCATAATTACTAGATGCCAACTGTGATCATTATTACTTTAGGGGAAAGAGGAGCCACTGCCACAGCAATTGATTTGAATGGCCCAAGTCCCCTTGAAGAGATAGGGCAGCATATAAATATAGTTTTATTACTTTATTATTATACATGGAATTCAGACAGGTATTATCCAGTTTCAAATGGGTTAGAACAATTGCTTCAATATTATTTTACTTTGGTGATTTATGACGCATTTAAAAATGTCAAAGATACCAGATAATATGCATGTCTTTAGAAAATATTTGGATCTCTGTTATCCCAAATGAAAGGTTTATATACTGGATCTAACTGAGGAAGAATGAAACAATAAGAACAGCAATTTTTAGTCATGCAGTCGACTAATCAACAAACACTTGGCTCTTCATTTGCAAGATTGAACAGAACATGTTTCCACAGTACAGGAGCATCTTACTCTTCATGTTTAATCCAGGATACTATCAGGCTGCGTGTTCCTTAGGATAAGAACATGAACATTTCTCCCTTAGCGTGCAAGCTAAAAAGTGTCAACATAATAAGAATTAAAAATATATTCAATGTAGAGGTAGGGATGAATTGAGTGTAACAGTATGTACAGTTCCAGCAATTATACAGTCAAATTTGCTAAGGTTAGAACACAGAATCCATGTCTGAGTGACAAAAAATGCGAATAAAAAATTGCTTTAAAAAAAAAAAAAGAAAACACCTCTGTAGGAATTTCTACAGCAGGTTTTCCAGCATGTCTCTATGGTGAACCTCTGCTGGAAGCTAACAACTAAATTGTACTGAAGAGCCTAGAAGTTCATAGAGAGAAGTTCTGTCTAGAAATCTCTAGGTCAGAGCTTTCCAAACTGAGTGCCACAACACCTTAGTGCTTCAGCTGCCATGTACAGGTGTGAAGCTTAGACATAACAAGAAATGACAAAAATCTTGGAACTGTATCTTCACAACATACTTAGATACGGTAATTTTTACAAATCATATATTTTAAAAAATATAAACGTAGTATACTTTGGCATTACAATTTATACATGTGTCCATATCATTTATAAGGAGTTGGTTTAACCACCTGTTTGCTAGTAAAACTGAATTACTGTGTCTAAATAGTTGTTATCAACATAAAATGTTTGGAAAGCTCTGCTCTAGATCCTTCAGTAGCACTGGAGAAAGGTGGCCATAGGATCACACTTGGGGACCTAGAGATGCCCAGAGAGAACATCTTAAATCAAATCCATAAATAATCAAATCTGCAAAGTCAAAACCACAAATGTGGAGAGACTATTGTAGTACAGCAAAGTGCAGATACTTTATTAACATAATGCTGCTTAATGGCCTTTCTCATGGCTTCCTGTTATGTAGTTACTGAAATATACTGAGATGGCTATGTTGCATTACTTTATTTTTTATAAAAATAAAAACAGTTCTAAGATTCTCAGTTCTTGTGGGTTTTTTCGGGCTATATGGCCATGTTCTAGAGGCATTTCTCCTGACGTTTCGCCTGCATCTATGGCAAGCATCCTCAGAGGTGAGGATGCTTGCCATAGATGCAGGCGAAAAGCCATGAAAGCCTTCGACAGTTCTAAGATTATTTTTCATTATGAAGTACATAATCTGCTAAGATATTAATTTTGCTCTCCTTCTATTGTAGGCTGCTATATCAATATAACAGTATACTTGTCTAGGAAAGCTACCCAGTCTAGTTATTTGCAATTCTTCCTGCATCAGATTAGAGGATTCTCTTACCTGTTTCCCATCAAGTGTGTACAGGCGCTTGACTACTCCTGAATCCAGTTTGATGGCATCAGTAATATCAGTGAGAACCTGTTCGAATGAATGTGCTGTCTTCTTGTTAAGCAGAATCCGGACTGCTTTACGTGGCTTCACGCCGCTCCTGATGATTGTGACCAGCTTAGGCCGAATGAAATCCTTATTCTCCTTTGAATCCAAAGGACTTCCTTTGGCCGCACCAAGAGAGGCCACTGCGCGGGCAGCCGAGGTGGTTTTGACATTCACTGACCAATTAGGATTTACATTCTTTGTGTACTCCAGCTTCTTGAAAGGCTCTATTGAACCACACACGTAGCTCTCTCCTAGGAAAAAGAAGTTTCAAATTATTAACTTAAATCAGCCCAACTGCATCTTCTGTTTTGATTACAAAATCTTAAGATGATGATGCATGCACATGAATACTTCCTTAATATCTACAAGGTTTTTGTTCTAGAATCTCCCATGGACACCAAAATCTATTGATTATCATTATATATAAAAGGTTTTTAAAATGGCATCCCTTCTATAAAATGAAAACAACTCAAAACAAGTGTCAAAGAGAGCCTGAGGATCTATGAAATGGTGATGAGCTATAACAATTTATGCCTAAACATCAAAGTAGAGCTCAGTGCATGGCAAAATCAAGGTTTGTTTTTCAATATCTTCTAGCTGTGGTTGGTTGAATACATGGATACATAATTGTGGACATAGAATGTTGACTGTATTTTTAAACAACAGTTCTAACTGACAAATTGTCTTCCAAACTTTGGGGGAAAGTGTGGGAAAGAATGGAGTAAATTAGAGGACGAAAAGTAGAAACTGTGGTATAAGTTGAAAACCTCTCATCCAAAATTCTTGGGACTGCCTTTCAGATATTTTACAGATTTTTAATACTTGTGTGTGTGTTGCATCTATGTATTTATACACACACAATGAGATATCTTAGAGATGAGATCAAAGTTTAAACATGAAATGTATATGGTAAGTTCTTTGAACATAGCCTGAAGATTATTTTAAAAATAATTTTGTGTGTAAAAGAAAGCTTGTGTACAGTGAACCACCAGAAAGCAAAAGTGTCTCTACCTATGCCACTGCTTCTTAATCTGTGGGCCCCAACTCCAAAAGAGGTCCCCTTAGCTGAATATTGGAGTCACACAAAAATTGACAACAGTACATGGTTTTTGAACATCACCTATTTACACATATCTGTTGGCAACAACATGCAATGTTTATAGTGGACTCTGCAGAAAATGCTTCCGCTGTCAAAAAAGAACAGGCTGTTTACCAAGCTTCGCAAATGCTGATTTTACTTTCAGTAAATGTTTGATTTCATACCTACTTTATATCTAGGGTCACAAAAAAAATTCTCAGGTAGAAACAGGTTGTGAGTTTAAAAAGTGTAAGAAGCCCTGATCTAAGCCACCCATGTGAACAATTTTGAATTTTGGAATTCTAGATATGGAATATTCGACCTCTATTTTTTGATTTTCATTGCAGAAATATTAGCAAAATACGTCAATGAAAATAAACCTCACCAAGGAATGCAATTGATTGATTGATGGAAGGAAGAAAGGAAATTTCAGCAGAAAAGTTTTTGTCCCACTACAGTCCCAAGTATTTACCCTCTTTATTTAGTGCAGGCAATGCTAAGCTCCTTTGTAAAACAGTTTATTCTGTTAGAAGCTTTGTACAACATAAAGGCCAAGGGACGTAGCAGTGATCAAACAGAACATATTCTCTTTTATCTGTATCTCCATCTAATATTTTTAGCAAGAACGGTTCAATCATCCCAAGGACAAAAACTATATAAGTGCTCCCTTCTTTGAGTAAAAATGCTTCCTTCACCAATTTCATCAATTTTAGGGCATTATCATTATTTCTTCTTTTTTATCAGAACATTTTCCAAAAAGAGTGCTTCACTGATCCAATGCAATAATGATTCAGGATGAGACTCAGGATAAGTATTGAATCAAGTGACTGAAATTAAACATTAGTGAACATGAGAAAAGAACCATTAGTGAAAAGAGTAAAGAAGCTATGAACTGGATTGCTCTCCATCAGGGAATTATAGATGGCTAAAATAGATGAAGGTTGTTTCAATTCAGCTCTAGTTGCATAATAAGCCACATCTAAAGTAAACCTAGATCAAAGTGGTAATACATGTCACAACTAATGTGAAGTTAGTTGACCTGTAAGGTGTTGACAAAAAACATATGGCTGGTCTTCCTCATAAGTTTGGAGCCACCACTGAGAATGTATCCTGACACACTAATAATAGTTCTGGTAGGCCACCTCAGGATACTTTTAAGGATTAATGAAAGTAAAGTTATTTCACCAAGCCTAAGAACTTACAATATGCAGGAACCAAGCCCTTTAGAGCTTTAGAAGTTATCAATACCGCTTATATGACTGTTCTACTGCAAACATGTGGATGTGTGGTTTCTACACAGTGGATGCAATCCTCTATGGTTGAGTGTAATGCAGTAATTTCTTATACATACCTATGCAAAGATAGATTATATGCCACACACCCCAAATTTACTGTATAACTTTGGGGGGGGGGGAGGGAGATTCCATGCCTTGTGGTGATCAGAGAAGCATCTGGTTAGAATCTCCACAGATAGACACAGAATGGTAATATCAGTACTGAGATCTGCCAGAGCTCGCCAGAGCCCTCAGCACAGCTGAAATAATTTCCCAGGGACATACACATGCAAAATAGGTAAGAAAATATTTCAATGGAATATAGACTTAAAATATATTCCCAGGTTGGAGGCGAAAGCTAAAGAAACATTTCTCCATTACCAATCATACATATTCTTTGGATTATACTGCTGGCAGCTCATATTATTCATTGATTTATTTATAAAAGTCATGAAATACCTCTCATCCATACACATATTAGAATTCTGAGTGATAGATAGAAATTCCTTCTTAGTACCTATTACATATTGTTTTATGACTGTCATTTTCCCCATGTGTTGTTTATTTGTTCAGTTGCTTCTGATTCTTTGTGACCTCATGGACCAACCCATGCCAGAGCTCCCTGTCAGCCGTTCCCACCCCAAAGCTCCTTCAAGGTCAAGCCAGTCACTTCAAGGATACCATCCATCCATCTTGCCCTTGTCGGCCCCTCTTCCTTTTTCCTTCCATTTTCCCCAGCATAATTATCTTCTCCAAGTTTTCCTGTCTTCTCATTATGTGGCCAAAGGACTTCAACTTTGCCTCTAATATCCTTTCCTCCAGTGAGCAGCCAGTTATTACTTCCTGGAGTATGGACTGGTCTGATCTTCTTGAGGTCCAAGACAATCTCATAATTTTCTTCCAACACCATTGTTCAAAAGCATCTATCTTCCTTTACTTGGCCTTCTTTATGGTCCAGCTCTCACATTTAATATGGGGAATACCATTGCTTTAGCTATGTGGATCTTCGTTACCAGTGTGATGTCTCTACTCTTCACTATTTTATCAAGATTGGACATTGCTCTCCTGCCATGTAAGATAAACAAATGAATGTGACCAGGACTTTTGGGACCTGATTAGAATTTCCTGCCACTAAAAGTGGCTTTAAATTCTCTCAAAATGGAATTTGAGCTTTAATAAAAGTTCAGTCAAATAAAATGCTGGGATTCTTCAGCCTAGAGTACTATCTTATTTCCATTAGCTTAGAGCGGCGCCATCAAGAGAGCCAAATAATTATTTCCAATGATGTTCAGCCAATCAGAGTTTTAAAAGGAGAGCACACCTGCAGCCGCAATCTCTTGAGAACCATTAATTAATAATGTCATCTATGAGAGTAGCACTGAAGCATGCTCACCAAATCATGAAGAGTCAACATTTCCAACCCTTTTCCATTCCCTGGTTAAGGAGAGGTCCAATAGTTTTGCTCTTATTTTGAAAGGAACAAAATACCATTAGGAAGGTCTGAGTAGTCACTTGTGGTATTTTTAATACATTAGACCGTAGAATGCTTAGCTGATCAATATTTAATGTAACAACTCCTTTCTGCTGTCTAAAGAGTTTTTTGTCCTCTTTGTTTCACACCTATTATATTTGATGTCAATCAAAATATTTCTCTAGAGAACATGTAAGAAGCAGCACTTCCCAACTAAGTAAAGCCACCAAATGGAACATACTCTCTTGTGCTAGCAAATTAGGTAAGTGAATGTCATCCACCTTAGGATAATAGTCAAAACTATCTAAAAGACTCTCAGAGTCATTATTTCAGAGCAAAACTGAGTAGCTGCTTCACATTGGTTTCACAAGAGACAGACTACTTTTTTTTTAAATGTCACAGATAATCAACCTCATCATTTGGTCTGTAGTGTATTATTTAAGCAATGATGCCATACAATTTGGAATGCTGCCTGGAATTTGGTAACTTTTGATATCCATAATATCACCAATTAAAAAATCTTCTACATAATATCTTCACCAATAATGTTAATGATCAATTTTCATAAGAATGATCCTTGCTGACCCTACAATGAAGAGAATTACATGCAAAAAAAATCTCAATGAAAAAATACAGTGAAAAATTGTGACTTCTTAATGTCACTAAGCAAAATATTCAGAAATTGGCACATGGTTTTTGTTTTCTGGATTGCTTGTGTTGAGTCTTAACTCTTGCTGCTTCTTTTCAATTCCAAGAACACACATTGCTTCTGTTATAAGTTTTTGTTGTCTGCAACAAGGTTTCAGGCGGCATTTTTTACAACTGGACATTCCCAAATTGTAAAAAACAAGACTTACAGTGTATTCAAGAAGTCAATATATCATGCTTTCATTGTGAAAGCAGGATTCCCTAGATTAAAACAATCCCCTAAGGTCCACTGGTTTACTCAAAAGAACAAGGAGGTAAACAAAAGGCATACTATTTTAGCTTAGCCATAGTAGACATCAAATACATTTGGACTTAAGTTAGTCATGACCAATTCAAGTGCTATTATTCTGAATGAATCTATTTTTAAAATATGACAAAGTCTGGGGCCAACCAATAGCCAAAGTCTTGTATTTTTATAGCAGTAGGTTTCTCTAAAAAATCTACAATGATCTACCTGATCATCACAATGATTGCCTCTCCCTCTGCAAAAGGGAATTAAATGCATAAAAAGAATTGGTCCTATCTGGAAAAACCAATGAGAGGCTGATCTAAATGGGGAAGAGTGAAGGGGACATTTTTCCTCTGACTTTCATATTTGTCAATTTCAGAGGCAACATCAAATTATCTTTCTAGCTATTTGGAGATCATACACAGCTGCAGTCTAATTCTATCTTATTACAAACTTGCAGCATCAGTTTAAAAAAGAAAGCTATGGGAGGG